TCTCTCTCCTCTCTCTCTCTCCTCTCTCCTCTCTCTCTCTCCCTCTCTCTCTCCTCTCTCTCTCTCTCTTCCTCTCTCTCTCTCTTCTCTCTCTCAACGTCTAGACGGTCCTGTAAGGAAGTCAACAAGCTAACTCGGAAATGTGGGACTAGGGGTGGTGTCGCTGTCTCAGAATTGTCGATGTGTAAGCTAAGTTCGTGTAAACCACGATTTTTTTGGTAGTAACTCTTTGTATGCACCCAAATATATATTTATATATTATATTATATATACGTATATATGTATAATATACATATATTTATATTAATTATATATACATATACATATAATATATATTATAGCTTTCTGTGCAAATTTATAGAAAATATGATCCTCGGGAGACTCATGTGGTTTCTGGAGAATACGGGCTCACTGAGCGGTCTGCAGTGCGGATTCAGGAAAACTCGATCCACTCTGGATCACCTGGTCCGCCTGGAGACCTTTGTACGCGAGACGTTCGCTGAAAGAGGCCACATGATCGCCATCTTTTTCGACCTAGTAAAAGCCTTCGACACAAACTCGAAGTACGGCATTCTCAGAGACCTGCACGCACTCAGCATACGCGGTCACCTCCCTGCCTTCATTGGCAATTTCCTGAAGAACCGTTCTTTCCAGGTTCGTGTCGGATCCTCCCTTTCAGATCCCCACCAACAGGAGGAAGGTGTCCCCCAGGGGAGTATCCTTTCTCCTCTCCTATTTGAAACCAAAAGAGATTCCATAGTAAAAAACCTTCCAAAATAGCATAGACAACTCGTTTTACGTTCACGACTTCTTGATATGCTGCCGTTCCAAAAATCCTCAACTAGGATCTATGGAAAGTAGCTGCAAACGCAGCTGCACAAACTTGAAAAGTGGGAAAACAATAACGGTTTCAAGTATTCTCCGTCAAAGATGGTTGCAGTACACTTCTGCCGATCAGGCAGACGTGTACTGCAGCCGGATTTGACACTATACGGGGAAAGGATTCCCGTCCAGGATCAGGTTCGTTTCCTCGGCGTTATATTCGACAAAAAACTCACATTCACCAGACTAACCCTTTACTATCCACGAAATGAATTCCTTCACGAAAAACAGAATCTATTGCAAAAATTGAGTCGGACAGACACAAGAGTGAAACGCTGACAGTAGCAGTTACGACATAGAAATCGCCCCGTTCGGATGGAAAATTGGAAACCAAACTGCCGTATGTCATTGTTACGATATAGACGACACCGAGATTTGAAACCAAAGTATCGTAACTAGACTTACTACAGTGTGGATTCAATTTTTTTGCCAAACTCAAGATACGACAAAAAAAAACCTCTGTGTCATAGCTGCCTTAATATTAAAGCTAAAGCTATAGGTACATCGTTTTAACACAAGGTGGGCGCCATTTTGTTTTTTAACATATTATTTTTCTTCAAAAAAGTCGTATCTTGAGTTAAGATTTTTTTTGGAATCGTACCCTCGATATATGATTATTATTATATATATATATATATATATATATATATATATATATATATATATATAAATAAAATGACATGCAAGACAAAAGATAAATGGTATATATTTGCTTGTCTGCTCGTTGGAGTAAAATGAAGCACATTGACACAGTGGGGCTTGGAAAAGAAAAAAATACAAATAGACAGAAACAACACAGGGACAGAAAAGAAGGAGGGACTACTCTCTCCAGAAAAGAATTGCTTACTGAGTTTAGAACACTTGAACAGACTGGACGGGGATTTAAATTATTTCCTATTGCATTGTGAAAACAAAACAGCTACAAAAACAATAACAACAACAACAACAACAACAACAACAACAACAACAACAAGAAAAACAACTCGTACTGAGTAGGCATGAATGAGGCCAGTTGTCCTTTCAAACAAGTGTATGGTAAGCCATGCTGACCATAACGGTTATCAAAATATAAACACAAAAACCCTTGCCTTTTGAGACAAAACTTTGCAATTTTAGAGTAGCAATTTGTTTGCAAAAGTCATGATTTATTTTCAAATAGCAACAACAACAGCAACAAGAAATATAGTACAGCAAATCATGCTGGTTAAAACAAGAGCTGTGTTTCCTTTTTTAATGTCGGTTCGGTTGAGAGATGTGTTAGGTAAGCCATACTGAACATAACGGTAATTTTTTTTTTTATGTATAGAAACCATTGCTATTTCAGAAATGCGTAAGGTCATGCAAGCCATAATGTTTATAAAGAGATTTTCTCCTTTGCTTTAAAGGCAAACCCACTGGACAGATATGTAAATGTGTAACACCACAAGTATAAAAAAGATAAAAAAGCATTATAAACAACCCATCACATCCCTTTTCCACACAAATTGTAAGATCACGCAGCGGCAAATATGTACCTCCAAAAACAAAGAAAGAAAGATCTAGCATAAGGCTGTTGTCAGAATGAGCATAGATGTGTGCTGCTCTTAGAGTATGTATCTGTTTATAACTACAAAGGTCTAGTATTTAAATTCCTGCATGTGGTTGAATGATGCATTTGATGTAAATGTACATTTTGTCAGCTTTACTTCTCCTTTCATGTTGAATTTTAATGAGAGTTATATATATATGATTTAATTTTTTTAAATGTATGCCTGCTTGTGTTTTTACGGTCCTGTACAGCCAAGGAAATTTCCCTCTGGGATAATAAAGTACTATCTTATCTTATCTTATCTTATCTTATCTTATATGTATGCCAAGCCACGCTGATCATAAGTTGGTCAAAAACAACAACAACAACAACAACAAAAACAAAACAACCCCAGAAGCAAATGTCGCTAGAGAGACGTACACTGCAAACTATGCTAATCATATAAAAAGCCATATTAGTTTTTAAAAGTAAAGAAACATAAAATCATTATATGGCGGTTCTTCTAACACATATGTATGGCAAGTAATGCTAATAAAAAACAACAACATATCTTTCACCGTAAAGAATAGAAACCAAACGCCGTTATGATGCTGACCAAAAAAGACATTTTAAGAAGAATAAGAAAGAAAAGTAAAAAAATCATTTATTTTTCTTGAGATAGGTGTAGCAAGCCATGCGGATCAAAATATTATGCATATTTGGATCCGTAATAAGTGTAAGTCTGATGCAGAGCTGGTAAAACGGAGGCATGGGAAGCCTGGCAGAACACAATTTGCATAAATTTCTTCGTTTACCTATGATGCAGGTCTTGTTTTTGTTTTGTTTTTTTAAGTTGGGGGAGACATGGCAAGCCAAACAGATAAACATATTATGCAACATTTTATTTCGTATACCTATGATGCATATCTTTTCTTTTTTTTTAAAGAAGAAAATGAAAAAATATGCAATATGCTTGGTATACCTATGATGTAGGTCTTGTAAAAAGGAGTCCCAGTTGGAAAGAAAGGTATGGCAAGCCAGGCAGATCAAAATATGCAAAATTTAGCTCCGCATACCTATGATGCAGATTTTGTTAAAGGAATCCCAGTAAGACAGAAAGGTAGATCTATGGCAAGCCATGCAGATCAAAACATGCAATATTTAGCTTGATATACTTATGATGCAGATTTTGTAAAAGGAATCCCAGTGGGAGATAAAGGTATGGCAAGCCATGCAGATCAAAATGTGCAATATTTAGCTTGGTATACATATGATGCAGATTTTGCTAAAGGAATCCCAGTTGGAAAGAAAGGTAGATCTATGGCAAGCTATGCAGATCAAAATGTGCAATATTTAGCTTGATATACCTATGATGCAGGTCTTGTAAAAGGAGTCCCAGTGGGAGAGAAATGTATGGCAAGCCATGCAGACAAAATGTGCAATATTTAGCTTGGTATACCTATGATGCAGGTCTTGTAAAAGGAGTCCCAGTGGGAGAGAACGAGAGAAATCTGCGTGGGCCTGAGCACAGTGCAGGTCTTTGTTTCTCGCAGGTCGGTACAGGATACGGAACTCACCAGCATCTCTGTCGCCATAGCAACCAAGAAACACAACACACGCCGGCGCACACAGGCTCACACACTCGTGGGCCAAATAGAAGTAGGTCTATGTCAATGGCGTGCACACACGAGTCATAGCAATCTGTTGGGTTTTATTGTTTGGTGGTTTTTTTTGGTTCTTATTTGGGTGTAAGTTTTGCAGCTAAAGCGTGCACACAATACAAGCGTCTAGTTTGAATGAGGAGAAATCCGAGTTAGATGCTGTTTGGTGTGACATTCTGTACACAGGTCAAGCTGTGGGGGAAAACACAAGGGTCTAACTAACACAGACGGCTGGCTCAAGCTGTGTTCCGTTCTAACTAACACCAACACATCATCTGAAGGTTAAGTTCCAAAAAGAGGGTGGTTTACAAAAACAACAAAATAAAACAAAACAAAACAAAACAGCAAATAAAATCAACAAGCAACCCCAAATGTTATATACAAAACAAAAAACAATAAACAATTTAAATAACATTGAGGGAAACTTTTCAAAACTAGTCTAATTATGCAACAAACTAACTGACGATTCAATATAAAACAAATCAAGCAATAAATCAGTACAGAAAACTAGAACAACAATGACATGAAATAAGGTACAGAATTGATCAACAACAAAAATGATCTATCGCAAATATTAAATCAGCACTGGTGAACAAATATGAGTGGATGAAAAACAGCACAGAGACGAGACTATTTATTATGCACTACAATAAATATCTTAATGATTTGGGGCTGGGTGTGAATAGAATGGGCAGGAGGCTGCTGGGTGTGAATAGAATGGGCAGGAGGCTACTGGGGAGCGCGTATTTAAGAAAGAAATGGTTTTTTTTTCTTTTTTTCCTTTTTTTTCTTGTTTTTTTGTGGGGCGGGGGGTGTATCTATTTAAATACCGCACTATTCTACTGCATACCATACAAAGTCACAATGAGTTCATAATATTATGTTATGTCTTGAGTGTTTCATTTTCAAAAAATAAATTTTCTAATTATTTTTTAAAAAATTATTTTTTAAAAATATTTTAAAATGTTTTTTAAATTTTATTAATCTATTTATTTTTTTAAAATATTTTTTTTGGGGGGGTGTTGAGGGGGGGGGGGGGGGTAAGTGTTTTACGGCGCTCACAAAACTACATAAGGTCACAATATGAGCGCGCGCCATTGGCCCAGCTTACTGATAACGCACAGCGGACACACGAGATATTCCAGTCAACAGCTGATCAAAGGAAATATTGCTGCTGCATCATATTTCAAGCCATCACACATATATTTCATCAGGAACACCAGTTTGCATACTTCATAATACCCACTGTCGCGAACCTTCTGATTAAAACCTGTCAATTCTTTGCCATATCGACAGACCGAAGGGTTAGAACCCAAATGGCCGCTGGATCGGAAAATTAGTAGTAAAGTAGTCGCCAACCTTCTCGAGTTTCAGATTTAGAAAAGAGAACACAACAATCGGTATAAATAACGAAGTTATGCTTATTTTTAAAGTATCCGAAAATAACAGCGAGTCTTTATGCATATGGTCAGAATGCATGTTATCAATGAGCTAAATATTGTTATTTAATTAATTTTTTTTAAAAACAAGCGGAACTTCACAACGAGTCGGACGTCCATCTCCAAGAGTAGACAACCAAGTGAGTGGGCCGGAGCCTTGGAATCTCCCAAAAACAACCCAAATTTGAGGGAAATGAATTATTTCGATATGTTTAAGTATACTATCCGAATAAATAAAGAATTAATAGTAATTAGATAGTTTAGATACATTTTAGTATATCTGGAAGAAGAAAGATTTAATGACAAATACATCGTTTATCAATGTTTAAGTAGATCTATGATATCTGAATAAATAAAGAATCAATAAGAAGTAAATGGTTTTACTATTATTATTTTTATAATTTAAACGTTTCAGCATATCCCATTGTCCCCCTATTGAGATAATTTAGAGGGCGGCTGCCTCGATCCTGCCTACAATTCAAGCGAAGTCCAAGCTGAGAGGGATACAGACATCCCTGCAGAAGAACTGAGACTCGATTTGAAAAAGATAATGAATAAAAAAACTCACAAAAACACAAATAAAACAAAACAACAACACAACAACAGCAACAACAATAACAACAATCAATCAATAACACAACAACAACAACAACAACAACAACAACAACAACAACAACAACAACAACAACCACAACAACAACAACAACAACAACAACAACAACAACAACAACAACAGCAACAGCACAAACAACACAAACCTCCGTGCACAGAAAATAACTTCAAGATTTCTGTACGCGAAGGCAAAGCATGTAACCACCACACAACAACAACAAAAAAACAATCAGAATATTCTTCACTTCCACATATCAGAAAAAAACATTAAAAACCTAAAGCAAAAGAACACACACAAGAACGGCGCCCTCGAAAGTACACCTACTGGATCACCGAAAACACAATTTTTCCGTTGCACAGAAACAAACTCTCCACCTTCCGCACCCATAATTTGACACAATCATCGCCACTCCACACAGAGTAGAGTCCTAGCTACCACACCGACTCATAACATAACATTTTCACCGTCATTTCATCCCCTACTCTGATAGATAGCGCGACTGCCCTTCGTGTTTTTAATTGAAACTGTCCGAAACACACAGGGAGACTGTCATTTGTGCATTTAATTGAAACTTGTGCGAAACAGGATCCCTTGTTCATTCGAGCGTAGCATTCAGAATACAGATAACACAGAATGGCGCTGTTTAGCTCATGGCATAATTTACACGCGCTGAATGCATTATCTCTCTCACGATGCATACATTACAGTCCTTAGAAATTAATTGTGTTTGATAATATGAAAAAGATGGCCTGTTTATCGACACATCGCAGCAAGACAATATGGAAAGGGGATTATGGCTCGGTTTTTTTTTCCCTCTCCTTTTTAAAAAATGATTAATTTTTGAATTACTTAATGAGAAACCCATCAGCCGCCTACAGCAGGATCTGAATATTGAGTTTATTGAGTCAATGCGGGCAGAAAATATTTCATCACTGCGCTAGCAAAACGGCACAACTTTTTTCTCTTTTTTGTTTTTTTTGTTTTTTTTTTTGTTTTTTGTGTGTGTGCTGCTTTTGAGATAAATAGCGGGAAAAAGCCAACTGTTTGACTAAACAATCCATCATGTAATGATGGTAAAACTTGCCATGCAGGTTTCTTATGTATGTGACAACCAGCACATTTTTGTTTTGATTTTACCAGGAGATCGATATCGTACCATCAAACAACAATAACAACAATAACAGTATAAAAAAAAGGCAAGTTGAATTTTGCACAACTCTGAATTCTGTCATGTTGTGAGCGCAGGGACGGTTTACAATCAAACACTTGAACACGTCACCAGCCAGGTGGTACGGAAGATCAGGACAGACAGACAGACAGACAGACAGACAGACAGACAGACAGACAGACAGACAGACCGACAGACAGACAGACAAAGTTTTAAAATATACCCAATCATATTTCATGATAATATAGGTTTACCGTCCCTTGCAGGACTGTAAAGTCAGCAACGAGGCAAAAAGCTCCGAATATTAACGTCCATCTCCGACACACCATAGCCAAATTGGAGGGGGAAAAAAACAAACCCGCATCAAGTGCTTTTTTTCCAAGGTGACAACATCCGATCAAGATGAGATTCGAACCCGCGAACCCTCAAACCAACCAGTTGACCACCGACGCAACATACAGGCGGAAAGAATCGACGAAAAATACAGAAGCAGAAAAGTATAAGCCTTACCCTGTATGTACCCACCCGGTTGTCCTTCCTTGCATGGTCATTACCACAGAACTACAACTTTTGTTTTTGTAAGTGTTTTACGGCGCTCGCAACTGCATAAGGTCATATGAGCGCGCGGGACACACTAAACTTTTTCAGTTGGTGGGAAATTTTGAATTTTGCCCGGGTGGCGGCCGAAGCCTACTCTAATCGATTTTAGACCACCAAGGGATCTTTAACGTGCACAGCTTGCACACGGGACCTCCGAGATTTTTCGCCCTTGTCCGAGAAGGCTAGGTGTAGATCTTTCCTACCAGAAGATCAGGGGTGTGGCTGAAAGACAGCAGTAAGAAGAAGCCAATGAGTAGCAGTAGAAAGGCTGCAGAAAGAATCAGGAGCCCAGAGGAGGGGGCAAAGGAGGTGAAGGGGTGAGGGGCAGAAAGAGGAGACGAAAGCAGACGACAGAACATTGCTAGAGAGTAGGAAAGGAGGTGAAAGGAGACAAATTATGAGAAGAACATTTTTTGGTCGCAACCCGGATTCGAACCCGGGACCTTTGAATGAGAGGCGAACACCTTAACCTCTAGGCCACGAGAGCCCCCAGAACTACTACGTTCTATTTACTCAGTACTTAGTTTTGAGAAAGCAGACGTCAAAGATTATGCGTTTTGCAACATATCAAGCGTTTTTCGAATGCGATTCTTTGAATATCTTGTTAACGATTTCGAATAACCTTACGATTCAAAAATTAAGTTTTAGTAAGAGTTTTACAGCACTTGCAACACAATAAGGTCAGATAAGTTCCGAAAGATTTGAGGTGTGAGACAAGACAGTAACAAACACAAAAAAGAAGGAGGAGATATCAGGACAATAGATGGTAGATAGGAAAGAAGGAGCAAACCCCACCAGAGCACCTGCCAACCACCCACTTACAATTTTGATAAAGCAGAAAGAACATTTATCGGTTTCCGACCTCATGGTCTTGTTAACTCAAAAAAAGCCCAAAAATGTCAGAAAAAAACTTAGTAATTCTGAGGTGGCATAGTACCCATATCTTTGTGCAGGCTGGGGTGTTAACTAGAGTGAGAGTCATTTGTGTGCCAAGTCATGAAATCACTGTCTGTGACATAACTGTTTGTTTCATCAAGACTGTTTGTTTGTTTGTTTGTTTGTTTGTTTGTTTGTTTGTGTGTTTGTTTGTTGGAGTAAATAGCAGAACCAAGGAGTGAAGAAAGAGCACATAATTATTATCTCCCAACAACAACAAAAACAGCAACAACAACAACAACAACAACAAGAACATCAATAACAACAACAACAACAACAAAACATCAACAACATCAACAACAAAAACAGCAACAACAACAACAACAAAAACATCAATAACAACAACAACAAAAACATCAATAACAACAACAACAAAAACAGCAACAACAACAAAAACAGCACCAACACCACCACAACCAACAACAACAATACCCAA